CAAGCGCATGCTGTCATTGCATCCGCCCGACGCCCCGTGGCGACCGGAGCATAAGAGTGCTTCGCAAACGCTCTGAAGAGGGGGTGATAGATTAGGCCGTTTGCTTGGAACCCTGAAGTGGGGGCATTTGAGAAGGCTCCGCAGAGGGGTGCAGACACGGGGAAAGGACACGCGCTGTCTTTCCCCCTGCACCCCCGAGCCTTTACTTCCAAGCAACGCCTTATAAAGAAAAAGGGCATGCGCACATGTTTGTCGGTCGTACTCTTTTATCTTTTGCCGCTGGATCCCTTTCGGATTGAAGCAGTGATCAAGATTCTAACGTTTAGGGTTTTCCTTTTCCCTTATGTTTTAATCTTGATCGAATCTTCGGACGCGTTGCCGTTTTCTGCTTCAAGCCACCTACGGGTCATGCGTGAGGGTTTACCCCTCCCTTTTTTGCGCTCGAGGCCCAGCCGCAGCTGGCGCCCCAGAGATACTGTGCGCACCATGCCTCTGCATGCAGTGGCCGCAAGTTTCAACCTTGCACCGTGTGCCGCGTTGCACACGAACCAGATGCACGCATTGCAACCTCCAGGGCCCAGCCGCAGCTGCCACCCCGGAGGCATTGTGCACAGCGTGCCCCGGCGTGCCATGACTGTTTCGACAGGTCTCTACCTGGCACCGTGTGCCGCATTGCACACCAGCCGGATGCACGCATTGCATCCTGCCGACACATGACTGTTTCGATATCTCAACCGGGCACCGTGTGCCGCATGGCACGCCAGCCGGATGCACGCATGGCATCCTGCCGCCACCAATGCCTTCGATTGTTTCACGCCTCACAGGTAACACACCTGGCGCCTGATCGAACACGCATTGTTGACCACGGGCGCATTTGAGAAGGCTCCGCAGAGGGGTGCAGACACGGGGAAAGGACACGCGCTGTCATTCCCCCTGCACCCCCGAGCCTTTACTTCCAAGCAACGCCTTATAAAGAAAAAGAGCATGCGCACATGTTTTTGCGGTCGTACTCTTTTATCTTTTGCCGCTGGATCCCTTTCGGATTGAAGCAGTGATCAAGATTCCAACAAACATGTTATCACGCTTTGCCGGTGCAATCATCTTCCACATCATCTGCTTCTTCTACATCATTTGCATCTGTGTCAGACAACGATTGACTTGGCATTGCAAGGCTCGAGCTGGAAAACAGCGGCGCGATTTTCTTGCGTAGGCGTCCGCGTAGGCGCGACAAAAGACAAACGTGCGCGTGTAGGCACCCCTTGCAGTCGCGGAGGCGTTGCGTAGGCGCTCGCGTAGGCATGTGTGCAGTGTATAGGCCCCGAGCACCAACAAAAAAACACTACCCAGCTGGCGCCGGGGACAGGGGACGGTGAGCGCACAGAAGCAGCAGCCGGAGGGGTGACCCAAGGGAGGTTGGGCGAAGAGAGGGCGGGAGAGTCAAGGCCCGACATGGCGACCAAAAAACAAACAAAACCAACGAGGCCGGGAGAGAAAACAGCCAATCCTCCAGGATCACGGGGTCGGTCCCCCCGAGGCTATGGACCGTTGGTCAAGGGGTCGGTCCCCCCGGAGGCTGTGGACCGTTGGTCAAGGGGTCGGTTTTTTCTTCTTCTTTTTTTCGGGCCGTCTTCTCTCCTGTTTTTTTTAATTCCGGGGGCCGGGTGTGCTTATTTAGCCCGGGCGCACCATTCCGGAAGCGGATTGTTTAGACTGGGCCCGCCTCCCAGCTGTGCTCCAATGCGCCCTGTCTTTTAGGTGGTTCCAGGCTCCACCGGGTCGCGCCGAACCAACGAGAACCACCACCAGGGGAAGCCCAAACAACAAACCCAAAAACAAAAAACCAACCCCAGGAAAGGGGGATGGCAGCCAACCGCGAGCCAACCCTTCTCGAGCCACTGTTGCTGAGCCAGGCAGCCTCTTGGCACGGCACTTCTCATCGCAGCTGCCTCCCGCGCTGAGCTCAGTGCTGCTGTTTGTTCCGGAGCTAGCCCTCCAGAGAACCCTTGCATTTTCGTGCAGCTCTGCTTGCTCTTGCCGCGTGGTGGCTTGCAACCGCTCGGGCCAGGGCCGCGCCGGCGTGCCTCCGCAGTTTTGCGCTGCAGGCCTTGCCAGGCGGTGATGCTCTTGCTTGGCGGCGGCTGCCCGCAGAGCATCTGCTGCTAGCTTGCTGGCGCTTTCCCCCCACTTGGCTTCCAATGTCGAGTCCGGAGCCTCCGCCGCGTCACGTTTGAACGTGCATGTCGACGGCCTTGATGACAGACGCATCAAGGTTATCGACAATGGCCTTCCTCCCTGGGGGGGCGTGCAGCTTCGGCCCGAAACTCAGCCGGCCACGCGCGGCGGCACGCCGAGGGAGCCGCGCTCCGTCTTGCTCGGCGAACCAAGGAGAGGACTTCCGGTGAGTCATCGCTGCCGCCTTGTCGTTGTCGGACTTGAAGTTAGTGGCCGCTGGAGCGCTGAGGCCGCGCAGTTTGTCAGCTTGCTTGCCCGGGCCCACGCCCGCGGCCAGATGACATGAAAGCCTCTTGTGCCGCAGCATGCCGCGCCCGGTGGTCGGCCCTCATATCTTTCGCCGCCGCGCGGGCGTATGCCATCAGCCTTCTTGCCCTGCCCGGAGCCAGCGCGCACAACCTTGACGGGCCCGTGCCGGATGTCAGCAACATCCTTGCTGTTCCGGTTCTCCGAAGCGTCCAAGTGCAGTCGGCTGCCTGTTCCCGGACGCAGCAACAGCGCTGCATGTGGGGAGGCTGGCCCTCAGCAACAGCCTAAGGGCACCCCTTAAAGACGGGGGGTGAACCAGTGGACGGGCAGACGGAAAAAGGCGTGAGAAAACAATGCATGTCCCCCACCCACCCAAAAAATAATAATAAAAAACAAAACATAAATAAGCAAATCATGACTAACTAAGTAAATAAATAAAGCGAGCCAGGGAGCCAGCGAGCCAGCGAGCGAGCGAGCCAGCGAGCCAGCGAGCCAGCGAGCCAGCGAGCCAGCGAGCCAGCGAGCCAGCGAGCCAGCGAGCCAGCGAGCCAGCGAGCCAGCGAGCCAGCGAGCCAGCAAGCCAGCGAGCAAGCGAGCCAGCGAGCCAGCGAGCAAGCGAGCAAGCGAGCAAGCGAGCAAGCAAGCAAGCAAGCAAGCAAGCAAACAAACAAACAAACAAACAAACACATAGAGATCAAACCCCGCGAGCGTGCTTTCGGATGTCACTGTTGGCCACCCTTTGGACAGACGAGGAGTGGTAGTTATGCACCCTGCCAACCTGGATGCGGGAGGGCTCAGGGGCGCATGGGCAAGCAGGCACCTCCGACAGGTGGGCACGCCCCACCCGAATAGTCTTTGGAGCCAGCCTGCTCTTCTTGGCGAGCGGCCAGGCCCCAAAACCTTCTAACGGCGCGGCCTCGCGGGTCAGCGATGTCCTGGAGCTGCTCCCGACCGACTGCCAACAGCTTGCCCAAACCTCTCGAGCATGGCTTCTGAGGGGCGGTCGTGGGCGGACTGATGGAGGCCATTGTTCGGCGTGCCTGCTTGCAGGTGTGCTGCGCGCGCGGGGTTGTTGGAGCACGCGGCTGCCCGAGATTGCCGAGAAGGGCGTCCGTCACAACACTGTGCGTGAGCGCCGCCCCGAGCATTGTGTGCCTGGTAGAAGTCACTTACAGCGCCTGCTGTTCCCTGGTGGCACCAAGGCCGAGGGCGGCGCACTCGCGCTACCTTGGGAAGTGCTTATGTTCATCGGTGGTTTGGCACGTTGCGCTGGCATGAGCAGATGTATTTAAACAACCTTTTCGCTGCAAGCCCAGCTTCTTCTGAAGCTTCGCGGCTGCAGGCCGGGCAGTTGCCGTGTCCATGAGCGCCTGGGCCCTGCTGACTCTTCGCCTGCCATCCGGCTGCCGCCAGTGATGCGCAGGGGGGCAAGGAACCCGTGCGCAGCGCCACCTGTTGGGGTAGTGCCTGGACAACATGTGTGTTGTGTGTGTGTGTGTGAGGCTGACTGGGTTGCCCATTTGTTCGCGCTCCGGCAGGCTCTGCCAGCACGCCGACGCAACTGTTGGCAAAACTAAGGTGCGTATCCGGGGGCGGTCGGTATACATATTTGGTTGGATGTTGGAAAAGGCGCGCGAAGCAAAAGAAAAAACATAACAACAACATCCCAAGGTGTGGAATGCTGCTGGCGCTGAGCCGGCGAGGTTCCAAGGCCTTGTCACGCTCCGGGTTCGGGTAAGAAGGGCCTGGAGGAGCTGCAACTGCGACGCTGCCACTGCGACACTGCGCGTCGCTGCGCGGGGAGGTGGTGCGACGCTGCACAATGTTGCGCGTGGGCAGCCACGCCTCCAGGTCCAGCGGCTGCCAACCGGCGCCGAGCAGTTGGCTGACACACGTGCTGCACAGCGAAACTGTGCTGGAAGGCGGCACGTTCCGTGGCAAGTAGTTCCAGTGCAGAGCTGCCTGGATGAAGGAATGTTGCGCAGCATGCTGCGCCATGCTCCGCCAGAGGGGCTGCAGACGTGCACTATTGCCGCTTTTCGTGCTCGCTTGTCTGCGCTGCTGTCCTTTGCGTACCCGGGACCTTTGCGGCCAGCCAGGACGCCAGAGCACGCAACCTCCCTTGATGGGGCGGCACCATTTTTTTTTCTTCTCTCTCTCTCTCTCTCTCTCTCTCTCTCTCTCTCTCGCAACGGATTTTGTGATGAGTGTCTTTTCACGACTTGCTTGATGCAAATAGGCGCGCCAAAAACAAAACGCATGTTTCACACGACACTGGAAATTGTTTGGTGTTTGCAAACAATATATGGTTGGGCGAGCATGTTATTTTGCATTTTTGTTTCACGTGATATGATCATGTGAGTGTTGCTTCAATAGTTTTTTTTCTCCTCCTTTTTTCCCCCGTCCGCAGTTGGCTTCCCCCGAAAACCCCTTTGCCTCCGGGCACTGGCAAGCGGCTGTGCGCCAACAAATTTTCCCGCTTTGGTGGGGGATATCATGTCCACATAACACTGAATAAGAGGCAGGCTCACAGCTCGCCACCTGCTAGTTGGGGTTGGCGCATGATGGCGATCACGCCCGGGGACGCGACCCCAAAATCAGCCAAGGCAAGCTGCCTAACCCATAGAGACGTGTGCTTCACCAACCGCAGTTTGCGCCAGGCTGGTGCTGGCAACAAAGTTGCTTATGGCATCAACAAGGTGCCACGCACAACACTCTCGCACGCAGAATGGGGGAGGTTTCCGATTAGTGACGACCCCTCAGGTGTGCTTTTTCACTATCAGTGATTTCGTCGAAGACCGGGTGAGGGTGACTTGGCCGGATGAAGGTTGCAGGAGGGATATTTGCACCACCAACGTGAAGCAGCAAACCCAGGTGCGCAGTTTGAACATTGTGGCCTTCAGCTTGATCTACATATTCTTCGTGCTTCTTGTTCTGGTACAGCAGAGGGTATGTCGGCACTTGCCTGGTGCGCGCATGTCAGAGACATGCAAAACAAGTGGCTAAGGTTTGCTTTGCTGAAGACAGTGCCCACGCCGCAGCCACGAGTGAAAGAGGCTTCGGGGCTGAAGTTGGTGAGACTGCGATGTTTGTAAGTTGTGATGCTCAATGGCATTGCTTGGGTGAGTGAGGCTATGGAATTGTTGCACTCAGGAAGTGTCTCAGGTGTTTGGGGTTGTTTTCTCGCAGTGAAACTACACCGCGGACATCAAACGGTCATGTTTGGTAGCCAGGTTACATTTGCGAACCCTCCACCCTCAGCATGGCTATCCGGTGCCTTCAGTACTGATTTGAAGAATCTGTACACCAGCGCCTTGTGCTGCAAAGTGCAACGTGTGGCAAGTGACGCAAAGTTTCTGAACTTAGGCACTGGCAGCTTACCCAACAGGTCGCAAAAGGTATTCGTCATTGACGATTCTGGAAGCCCAATGCAGAATGCCGCTGTGGAGGCCATCTGAAATCTGAGACTGGTTGGCTGATGGCATGTTGATCCAGTTTGTGGCTGCTTCACTTTGTCCCGCAAAGTGGGTTGAGCCTGTGCGAGGTGAAAGTTACCAACTTTGTCGCCCACGGCCCCGTGTCATGCTCTAAGGCTCGAAGCGTACAGCTTCGTTCTTATCGCGTTTTTGTTTTGACTTCTGAATCCTTTTACCTTCGCAGCCGAACCGCCTTGCAAAATGAGGTTGTGCTGTAGACATTCACTATGTACGCGTAGTTCGCGTGTGAATGAGGGACAAGAGGGCTGAAGCGATTCTTTGGTGGCAGGGAGGGTAAACCCGCTGAAGTCTGGGCCGCAAACTAAGCTGTTCGTTGCTACTAGCATGCCCCCCCACCCCCCAACCCCTGTGCAGACTTCCCGGGCTCCCGCTTTCATTGTTGCTTGCCTGCTGGCTGGCTGGCAGGCTGGCTGGCTGTCTGGCTTTCTTGCCTGCCTGCATGCTGGCTGGCGGGCAGAATTTGTTTGACTGCGTCGTGTTTATGTGACCACCACACTTTGGCTTTGCGGGACAGATTCAGCGCGCGTCTCGGCAAGCCAGGCAGATGTGGAGGCAAAGGCTGGCACTGCGGAGGCTCGAAGGCTTCAACATGCTGCTCAGCTTGCAGTCGTTGAAGCGTGACAGCGTGCAGTCGCCTACCAAGAAACCAAAAAGCAAACAACGACACAAACAACGGAGATGAGAGCAATTTCGCGCGAGCTTTCTCTCGGGGTGCATCCTGCGGCCAGCAAAAGTGGAGGACAAAGCTTTTGCTCGAAGCTTGCGAACGCAGAAGTGCAAGACGGAGCGTCGCAAAAGGTCCTCCTTTGGGTCAGAAAAGCTGGCGCAATTTTCTCCTAAACTGTCCCGCCGGGAGGTTGAGGTCCAAGCTGCGGCCAGTATTCAGACTCATGTGCCAGCTGAGGTTTGCCGCTACGACCAGGTGGCAGAAAACAAAGGCCAGCCGAAAATCGGGATTGCAAACATGGCGTAGGATCTGTGTAAGATCGGCCGTGAATAGTTGTGCTCGTTTTTGGTGTCGGCGCCTGAACCGCCCTCTGTGTTTATATCCTTTTTTCTTGTCAACAGCTTTCTGGAGTCCCTTTGTTCTCAGGTTTGAGTTCATGGTCAGGCGCCGGCCCCTCAAAGCGCCACGCGCCTCTCGCCGATGTTGGTAAGCACACCCGCTCGACCGCACGCGCGCAACATTTTGTTTTATCACCACGCACATGATATGCACACCCGCTCGAGCGCACATTTGCGGCAATGTTTTTTCGTCACGGACATGATAAGCACACCCGCTTGACTGCACGCGCGCAGCAATGTTTTTTCGTCACGGACATGATAAGCACACCCGCTTGACTTCACGCGCACAAGAATTCTTTGTCGTCACGCACATGATAAGCACACCCGCTCGACAGCACGCGCGCGGCAATGCTTTGTCGTCACGCACATGATAAGCACACCCGCTCGACCGCACGCGCGCAGCAATGCTTTGTCGTCACGCAAATGATAGGCACACCCGCTCGACTTCACGCGCGCAGCAATGCTTTTTTAGTTACGCACATGATTAGGCACACTTGGTTGACTGCACGCGCGCAACCATTCTTTGTCGTCACGCACATGATAAGCACACCCGGTCGACCGCACGCGCGCAGCAATGTTGTTTTTTTGTCAGTTTGCGTTTCGCTGAGGCGAAATGATCATTTACAAAACCGAAGGTTTGGACACGACTGCGAAACAACAGGGGGCGCTTCGGGCGCCGGCACCTCGTTTTTGTTTGGTCATTTCCCAGGCAGTTTCGGCTGATGTAGCAAGCAGTCCGAATGCGGGCTCATTGGTGTGGGTTGCAGGTCCGACCAACCCATCTGGCCTGATTAGCTTTAGCAACTTCACCATCAACGGTCCTGCCGGTGTATACACAGTCGTCCCGAGCGCGGAAGGGGTGGACTCAACACAGGCAGGGCGGTCGCATGAGCATCTCGCTGGTTGGCATGACAGGCCCCCCCCGCCAATTTTGAGCAGCTGTGACGGTGCTACCTTGCATGAATGATGTGATTGCTTGAAGGCGAACTTAAAACATGGGGTTTCCAGGTTTGGGTTTGCCCGTTGCAGGAAGGAACTATGCTGGTCTCAACACCTGTGGCATCCATTGAAGTTGTGGATGACAACTTGCGCCTTGTGTGTAAGACATGCTCCTGACTTCTGCTGGAGCTGCAAGACCCTCGTCAGACGCAGTGTCTCCAAGGACCAGTCTTCCTGAAGTGCTGGCACCACGGAGCGCCGAGGCGAGGGTGAGAATTCAACGAGAGAAAACTGCCACGTTTGCCTCAGGTTGGGCAGCCCTTGGAGTGGCAACCCCGGATTCTAGTACGGGACATGAGAGGACTTCCAGTTCCTGGAAGAAAGGCGCCAGCCTTAGAGTCCTTAGGTAGAGCGGTGTGCAGACTCGGGCTTGCTTTTGGCTTGCGCATGCGTCTGATTTTGTGAGTTCCGTGCGATGCACAAACTTGGCAAGCACGCCTCCCGCACTGAGATCATCGCTTTTGCGAATCCAGACCCAACTTGGCCACCCGTGTTTCCGCTTCCCAGAACGCCCCCCTACGACCGTCGTGGCCAGAAGGCGCGGATTTGGTTTCGTTGGAGGTCGGGTGTTTTTTTCCCTTGGCGTCCTGTGAGGTGGTGGAGCTGAAGCTTGGCGCAAAGTCGTCTTCGGAGCTCGGCGGGACGTGGGTGCCTGTCGGGTTTCGGCGGCCAGGAACTGCCCGGAGTCGGAGCTATCTGATGAGGCAGGCATAGCTCCGCGGCCGAACCGTTAGCCATGTCAGCCCTGGGAATTCTCGTGCATTTCTTGAGTCTGCTCAAGTTGCAAGCACAGAGGCAACAGAGACATAGACCTCCCACTTGTGGTTGCGATCCCAGGCCAGATTCACATGCTTGGGGATCAACAGCAGCAATGCCGCTTGCCTGCGAGTGGTCCTGTACCACTTTCACCGGCTTCAGTTCTGGCAAGCTGTGCCGCTTAGGTGGACCACGTGAGCATTGTTTTCTCGGAGAGCGGCCTTGTTTTCAACCCCTGGAACGACGAGACATATTCTCCGAGGACTACATGTTTGTGCGCTCTCCCAGGGCAAAAGCTGGACTAGGTGCAAGAAAGCATTTGCAGGAATTCGTACCCCATTACAGTTTCGGCCTACCGTTATGCGACGTACGTCGTCTCAAAGGTGGACTCAGTGAAGGCACCTGCTCGCAGTGAAAGTTGGTGCAGCATGGGCCTGATGGCTTGATGGGCACGTGCATGCAGCTTGCCGCAGGTGACGACCCCGACTCCCGTTCGCACTGGCTGTCAGACATCCACAGACCAGATATTCCGAGAAGAGATATATACCAGAATGCTTTTAGGGTACCATGGGCTAGCAGCGTATGCCATGACGAAATGACGCCTTCCGAAGTCGTTGGACTTTGATCGGAAGGGTTTTCCTGGCTGAGGGTGCCGTCGACAGTGCAAGAAGGAGTGGCGCTGCTCATCCTTTTTGGCGCTGCATTGTCGGCTCCATGAGTCCGTTGCGGTGGGCATTGCCTACCTCGCCAGCAAGACTTCTGCCCCGTCACACCTCTAAGGTTTTCCCCACCTCCAGCTGTTACCGCGAAAGATGCTAATGGGCAGCCACTTGCAGGAGCACCTGTGTAGCAAAGGGAGCGAGAGCAGGAGAGGTGCACTTGAGTGGGCGAGGCAGCAGCAGTTTAATCAGCTCTGCCATTTTCACTCATAGGGTTCCAGACCAGTCTATGTGAGGGCTGTTGGGCTGAGGTCAATTGCTATGCCGCTCGTCTCAGAATGTGGGCTGTTGGACTTTGCAGCAAGCCGTCCACGAGTGCCATGGCGTAAGTCTGCTGAGGCGCTGGTTTCCCTGGAGAGGGGCACACGAAATCCCAACTGGTTCCGCCGCCAACTCCGTGGCTCCAAGCACAAGGCCGGGGTTGGGTTTTGCATTCCCCCCCTCTGTCAGATGCTGCCGCTCCCTTTCAGAGTGTGGCAAGCTTGATTGCCCGAGTCACTGCCAATCCACACACACACACATAGAGCAGCAAATATATCTATCTGAGACCTTGAAGGCTATGGATATATCTATCTATCATATCTATCTACCTACCAATCAATTTAAATCTAATCTAATCTAATCTAATATATGTCTGTCTGTCTGTCTGTCTGTCTGTCTGTCTGTCTGTCTGTCTGTCTGTCTGTCTGTCTGTCTGTCTGTCTGTCTGTCTGTCTGTCTGTCTGTCTGTCTGTCTGTCTGTCTGTCTGTCTGTCTGTCTGTCTGTCTGTCTGTCTGTCTGTCTGTCTGTCTGTCTGTCTGTCTGTCTGTCTGTCTGTCTGTCTGTCTGTCTGTCTGTCTGTCTGTCTGTCTGTCTGTCTGTCTGTCTGTCTGTCTGTCTGTCTGTCTGTCTGTCTGTCTGTCTGTCTGTCTGTCTGTCTGTCTGTCTGTCTGTCTGTCTGTCTGTCTGTCTGTCTGTCTGTCTCGGTCGGTCGGTCGGTCGGTCGGTCGGTCGGTCGGTCGGTCGGTCGGTCGGTCGGTCGGTCGGTCGGTCGGTCGGTCGGTCGGGTCGGTCGGTCGGTCGGTCGGTCGGTCGGTCGGTCGGTCGGTCGGTCGGTCGGTCGGTCTATCTATCTATCTATCTATCCATCTTTCTATCTAATCTATCTAATCTATCTAATCTATCTTTCTATCCACCTACCTACTTGTCTATCTATCTATCTACCTATCTGTCTATACATACATACATACATACATACATACATACATACATACATACATACCCACACACATACATACACACATACATACACACACATGCACACACACCTGCACACACACACGTACACACACACACACGCACATACACACACATACAAATACACACACACATACACACACACATACATACACACACACACATACACACACACATACACACATACACACATACACACATACGCACATACACACATACACACATACACACTTACACACATACACACATACACACATACACACATACACACATACACACATACACACATACACACATACACACATACACACATACACACATACACACATACATACATACATACATACATATCCCTATACATCTATATATCTTTGTTGTATCTACATTTAACGTATGTACTGTATGTTGTGTTATGCTGGGCAATGGTAGTGTATGCAATGTATGCAGTGTAAGCAATATATGTTGATGTATGTCAATGATTCAATGTATGTTGATGTATGTCAATGTATGTTAATGCATGTCATTGTTTGTAACGTATGCAGTGTATGTAATGTATGTTGATGTATGTCAATGCATGTTGATGTATGTCAATGTAGGTCAATGCATGTCATTGCTTGCAACGCTGCGTTGCAATGTATGTAATATATGTTGATGTCAATGTATGTTAATGTTCATCAAGGTATGTCATGTATGGATTTTTGTATACTTATGTAATGTGCAATGCATATAATCTAATGCAATGCAAAGAAATGTAATGTAACAGAACACAATGCAATGCAATGTATGATGCGTAAGGCAGTGTATATATGTTCCAGGCCGCAGGACACCCCCCCTCTGCGGCTGGGGGTTGGTTTAGGGTTGGTTCAGGGTTGGTTTCAGGTTTGTCTAGGGTTAGTTTGGGGTTGGTTTAGGGTTTCTTTAGGATGGGTTTAGGGTTGGCTTAGGTTGGTTTAGGGTGGGTTTTCGGGGGTGGCTTAGGTTGGTTTATGGTTGATTTAGGGTTGGTTCAGGATTAGAGTGGGTTAGGGTGTGGGTTGAGTTGTCCTTGATGGAATGTTCAGCAGGAACTGCTGGATGCAGTGGCCGTCACGGACTCCGATGGGGTTGCAACGCAACTTGGCCCACTTGACACGCTCGTTGGCTGGCTGGGCAGCGCTTTCGCGCCGAGGTTCTCGCAGTTGAGAGTGCACCTTGGCACTGGGAACTGTTTGCTTCCGTGAGCTTCGTATTTCTAGCGGCATGTGAACTGGCGAGGTCTGTGCAGGGCAACACCATGGACCTGGCTTTGTCAAAGAGCTGGGCCACTCTCCTGCGTCCTCAGGTTGTTTTGAGGGTTTGCTATGCAGTTCCTGACTAGAACGTCTTGCATCAAAGGTGCGGCTCGCTGCGAAAAGTCATGTCAGCCCTCCCCGGCCAAGACATCGCAGTTCAAAGCAACATTTGCCTTTGTGATTCAAACTGCAAAAGGGTCCCGCAGGAAGACCTTGGCAAGCCCTAGTCGGGCTAGGCTGAGCCTTCGTAGGCCAAGCTGCATCGCGATCCAAGGCACAAACGACTGCTTTCTCCATTGGCTTTAATTGTGAAGGCGTGGAGCAGGACTTGCAACACAGCGAGATAACTTGAGTGGGGTGTGCTCAAAGCGCAATGTTGACAAACTCGCACATAGACGATCTCGCAGGAGACCCACCCGTGGGATCCACAATCGGGCACCTACATTAGTCATGCACCTTGCCTGCTCCTGCAGGTCAGCTCAGTGGACAACCATGGCTGTTCCAAATGGTTGATGTCTCGTTGCCCAATCATGTGTAAATGGCAAGACAGCGTTCTGATCATCGGCGTCCTTTTTAGGGTAGTTTGGTTACAAATAGATGGCACTGGTTTAGATGGGTTTTGTTTCATTTACAAGGGCCATCTATTTTGCCAAAAGGACACCTATGGTTCTGATTGCCTTTGCGCGACTGAGAGCACATTGTCATACACGTGGCCAAGGTAGAGACAACGGTGGCTGGAATCAGGAGAATTGTTTTGAGGTGCACTGCAGGTATGTCTTTGACTGCCGCCTTTTCGCACTTCGGCGTTTGCCGGCGGATTTTTGATGCGGCAAGGATCCAGCGCTTTATTCGCAAGTCGGCCGAGATATCTGGATTCTGGGACTGCAGGCTTGTAGCTGAGCTGTGGGCCGCCGGAGGCCAACTTTAAGGCCAAAGCGCCAAGCGCCTCCCTAAGCAGCCTTTTGAACATGGTCTCTTGCGGTAAGCATTGGGACACTCTGAGTCTTCTTTCCGCATCGATTTGGAAATTTCACTTCCACTTCTTACTTTTTCATTTTGACACTTTCCTCGCCATCTTCTTTCCATTTCCCTCGACTTCTTGTGCTTGCTTTCCACACCCTTCCACTTCCAGCTGGAAGTGTCTGGCCAGGCGGCCAAAAAGCGCTTCGCGCTTTTCCAGCGCACGGGTTTCCGTTACCGTCCTTTCCTTCTTTTTGTGCAACTCCTTCCACTCATTTTTTTTTGGTCATTTCTTCCCGTGTCTGGCAAACTCTAAAAAGCTTTGAAAGATGACCAAACATTGAATATGAAATTGCAAGAAGACAACATGAAGGCAAGTTTGTTGATTTTTCCAATGTCAGCCAACTTCAAATAGTAGTCAATTTCAGGGCACTTTCGTTTAAGTTTGAACAGAGAAATAGAAAACATACAAATGATAGAAACCAGGTCTTAGGATTCCGCTAAGCAACTACAATATTTCCAGAGACTACGGGGCATTCTCTTTAATTATCCCAGTGATCTTGTAGCCTTCCCGCGTGAGAGGGCCCCAAGGTAGAACTTTTGGGCGAAGGAGCCCCATTGAGCTGTCAAGGAAGAGCAGGCGCTTGATCGCACAGAAGTTTGCGGCTGAGGGCCTTCTTCGGTTTCAGCAACGCTGGCAGCGCAGATGGGCCCGATTTCGGGCGAATGGAGAAGGTCGATTTGCGGCGCCGGGGCTCCCACGCGTGTCAAGAGGCCTTCGGAGACTGCCGTGGAGAGCCGCTGCCTTGGGCGGTGAGGCTTTGTGTTTCGCAGCAAATCTGCAGATTGCACGCCGGGGCGTCGCGGAGGGCGATGTCGACTGCGCGCGGTTGCCGCAGGCGCGAGCGGCGCTCGGTTCAGGTTGCGCTACGTGACGGACAAAATTAGAGCATTTGCAGCGCCCTCGCAACATCCCTCTTCACGTCAGCGGTGCGTGGCGACGTCGCTTTGGCTGCCCAGAGTCTTCGCCAAGCTGACGCTACGGACAACAGCGCATGGCGTGAGCCCATCGGTGCGTGTCAAGAATTCCTGCCTCAAGATTGGAGATGAAGTTGAGGAGTTGAGAGACAGGAGGCAATCCCGACCGCCGAAGGGGCACTCCTAGCCGTTCGCTTTGCTAGTGCTGTCCTGGCGAAAGTGGCACCTGCGTTGCCACTCGTGTGGACACATACCACAAATAAGTTTCTGCCTTCTGCCCTTGCCACTGGAGAGCACGCAAGGAGTCATGAGTGACCATCGACACCGTATGGTCAAAACTTAACACGCCCATGTTTTGCCGCAAAGGTCGGCGCAACAACAAAATGCAGTTTTGCCGATGTGTGGGCAGGCAGTGACATGAATCAGTGCTTTCTCTCTTTCAGGGTTGACCAACACCCTCGCTGCATTGGTGCCTCAAGTGAAGTCTTGTGTTTCTTCACTTGCGCAAAAGGGACGAGTACTGCATGTCATTGCAACTCACGAGCCCTGAGTTGCCAAGGATACTTGTCGAAACCGCGCGATGATGGCTCCGATGCTTTCCTGGCAGTGGTTCGCGTTGTGGATGCCGCTGGGAACTTTGGTCGCAAAACGAGCTATCCACCAACGCCGCGCGTGACCCTGTTGTGTGCCGTGCTGCAAGGAACGGAGTGCCTGGGAAGACTGTGGAGGTGAAGTACGCCGGCGAATTAGGCCTTTTGGGTGGCTCGGGTGGGGCCTTGCTTGGTGGAGCTGGTTGGCGTGCATAAAAGGGTTTCCAAATTTGTCATGTCTGAAGACAACGTCCACATCGAGTTGCAGCCGGACGCCATCGAGGTGAGCAACGACCTGGGATTTGCCGCTTGGCTGTGTGAAAGAACGCCCAAAACCTCCATTGGCCATTTCAGGAAGTGGTTCTAGCATTTGGCTTAATGGGTTGTAAGGCCTATGAAATCCATCATAACCAGGTTGGTAGAACCAGAAGTAATGGGTTTTGGGGCGCCTAGCAAAGTGGCCCTGTGCAAAATGGCTGTGTGCCAAGGCGGTCGTTGCATTTCAACTCATTACTGGGCCGGCAGCGATGATTTCCACGGGGAGTTTGACGTTTTCCGTCACGTTCTTGGTGGACGGAGTGATGCCCTCAGCTCGGCTCGACATTTGGGCCATAAGCCTTGCTCAATTTGGGGATGTTAGCTGACCTGTCCAACGATCACAGGTCTCTTCGGAACCAAGTCAGCAACTCACTGGCAGGCCTGGGTGAATCGGCTTGGAAGACTTGGGCTGTTGCAGGGTTTCGTAAACACCAGGCATTGCTTTGTTAAGTGCGGCATGCCAGGTGCAGCTTAGCAAAGCACACTGCCGAAGGGATTTGAGGTTTCATCATTGGCGTTGTTCAAGCTTCCAGTTGACTCCCATAATCCTGCTTGTTCGCCTTCGCGACTGCATGCTGCTTGCAGTCACCGCCTTGCAACGGGCAAATCATCCGACTCACTGGGAAAGAATTCACATCTTTTACACAACTTTGAGTGGGAATTTCGCACGGGAGCGTGGCCATGAATTTTCAGATATGGAGGCGATATGATATGTTCAGTTTTTGCGCAGAAGCGTGTGTTGTGCACCGGGCTGCCAGAAACTTCACGACGTTTAGATTTTGGCAATGTTTGAGTTTTGGGTGCAACGTCCTGACGCGCCAGGATGATTGGTGGCCTGAAACCTCAGGCACGGAGACAGGCCTTTGGCAGATTTCCGCGTGCGAATGTAAGGCCTGCCACTTGCTGTACCCCATGACGGCGGCGTTCTACGACATTGCCACAACAACTGTATCTCCCCTCTCGGGATGGCCCATCCTTGCTAGCTCTGGCAATATTTTCTTTACAACATTTAGGCTGAAAGGGCAGACCAGCTGCGCTGCTTGGCTGCACAGTGCCGGATCCGTGTTCTGAGTGCACTGGCATGCCGACATCTTCTCGCAGCCAAGACCGTTTTTCCTGGAGTCTCAACTCCCAATGCGTCGAAGTGCGCAGAGGGAGCCTGGGACCGCCGTCTTGAGGCGAAAGACTCCGAAAGACTGTTGAGTGCAGCACTGTGGCTTCTTTGTCTTAAGGCGCTTGCGGTTAGAGCCGGTCCCGCAGGAGTCGGATTTGAAGACGATTTCGCGGAGCCTCTTTTCTCAAGTGGGACCCCCCGGGGTTTCAACCGGTTCCCTCGCATTCATGGAGGGGATGCTTTTGCTTTTTGGCCCCTTCGAGTTTCCAGACGGGAAGGTATGGGTCTGGCAGTTTGGCTGAGGGTTGGCTGGCCTATCAGAGAGCTCCATAAATATGTCGCGGAGACTGCAAAGTAGTGATGGAAGCATCACTGTGGAGTGCCCGGGATGCATGCAGCTTTCACGAAAGTGCTTTACTTAGCTGTTTGAGTTGCTCTGCGTCGATACTTGAGGCTTGAGCCGATTTACAGCACTGAGACTCGGTGGCAAGCGATACGCCTGGCCAAGTATTCCGCATTGCTGCACAAGCCAGAGCCTCCCTCCGCACAAGGACAAAGATCAATGGGGCACCGCGTGGCCCCCAGAGAGAGCGAGAGAGAGAGATAGACGAAACAATAGACAAATCAATGAATTGATCAACAATAACTTAGAAGCATCAAGTACAAAACAATTAAACCAGAAGCATGACCAGATACGTACTTGAATGAACAAATGAGAAACTAAATAAATGAAGGAAGGAATACAAGACAAACTAAAAAGATACATGAACGCATGCCAAACTCAATAAATGAATACATACATAGATACACAAATGGCAAACAAACTAACATAAATACATGAAATGGACACAAATCAACAAACAAATGGATACACCAAACAAATATGTAATTTAATTAAAAACTCAAATGCATAAGCAATAAACAATACCACAATGTGAATGAAATGAATGAGATGAAATGAATTGAATTGAAATGAAATGAAATGGAATGAACGGACGAATGAACGGACGAATGAATGAATGAATGAATGAATGAATGAATGAATGAATGATTGATTGATTGATTGAATGAATGAAGGAAGGAAGGAAGGAAGGACTGCATGAATGCATGAATGCATGAATGCATGAATGCATGAATGCATGAATGCATGAATGGATGGATGGATGAATGAATGAATGAATGAATGAATGAATGAATGAATGAATTAATGAAATGCCATGAAATGAAGCGGAATGAATGGATGAATGAATGAATGAATGAATGCATGAATAAATGAATGAATGAATGAATGAAGGAAGGAAGGAAGCAATCAAGGAAGGAATTAATTAATGAATTAATGACTGAATGCATGCATTGAGCGAACGGCTTCGCCAGAGAAAGTGGATTTTAATGGAAAATCCGAAACTCTGCACAAATGCAAATGCGGACTCAAAGCTAGACTCAACAAAACAGACAAAGACAAACAACCGGACTAAAACAAAACAAATTCGGACAGAACAACAAACAACCCAAACAACCCAAACAACCTGACTCGGGGGAAAAAGAAAAGAAAAAACAACAACAACAACAACAAAAACACACAAAAACGATTCAACAGATCACAACACTCAAAAATCATCAGCAAAACAATTTCGAACTCAATTTCAGACTCGGGTGGGCGAGAGTCTGGGGGGAAGGGGAGACTCGCCTTCATTTTTTTCTGAGTCTGAAATTGTCTTTGAGCTGAGTCTTTTTCGAGTCCGAGTTATTTTTTCTTCTTTTTGTTTGTTCTGAATGTAGGGTTTGGGGCTGGGTGTTTTCCTGAGTTGACATGACACGACACGACAGAGAAGCAGCAGCATCGGCGACAGCACAGTCCGAATATTGTCACAAGCCCCTTTCCCAGGGAGGGGAGGAGTTCTGGCGGCTCAGTCAAAGATTTGGCAGGCGAGTCAGCCTGCCAAGTTGTACTTGCCCGGCATCCTTTGAGCACCACTCACGCAGAACTGCGGTTGCCCTCTTTGTGCAGGATGCGATTTGTTGATCCAGCGCTTGCAGGCGCTAGAGGCCTCCTGCCAACGTGACCGAGAAACACGAGCGAAGCTTGAGATCGCCAGCAACACCTCCGGCAGGACCCCCCAAAATTGTGCTGAAGCAGAGGCCCCAAGAAGACAGGAGGAGAGTTGTGGCCAACGACTCGGGAGAGGGGCGTGGCAATGGGCAGCGCGTAAGAGAAGAGGCGGGCAACAGGCAACCCGCCCGCAGGCCGTTGGAAAGGGGATTTTTGGAGTGCACGCTGAAGCTCCCCCCCACCGCGCATGATCGTCGCAGCCGCTCGAAGGAAGAAACCCCGCCCTTCGCAGCATCCCGAGTCGGGGCAGCGACCCCAACCACAATTTCCAAAATAGCCGCCCTACGAGTCGAGGACAGGGGGTTGGAGCAAACCCGTCCTCCTTGCCCTGAGGGCGCCACGTGCATGTGCGGCAAGCGTAGGCCTTCCAGCGGACAAGGACCGTCGGGTAGGGTGTTTGTAGCGCTTGTTTTGGTGTTTCTGCTTTGCGGGATCGTCTGGGTGTTTTGGGGATTTGAAATGTGTTCTGGGGGTCAGTTTTTATCTTCTCGGTGTTTTTGGTGGCTGACCAAGGGAAACACTCCTGCAAAGTGAGAAGCGTTTGCTGAAGATCAGCAGTGCCCTCTGTATCTCTCTCAACCCTGATCCGCTCTGGGCATGGGTGGGCCAGCTGCTGCATCCGTCCGCCATGAGACACATGGAAACCAAGGCAGATCGGCCGACCAGCAATTCGAAAGGTTTTCACAGGGACCCTGAAACATTACGCAAGATCCTTAAAGAGACTTGCTGAGTTCACGAATGCTTCAATTCAAGTGCCACGCGCGGACCTTGCCAACTTGTTGTTGGCTTACACTGAAAGGCTTTGGGCAGCTGTGCAGTGCCAGCAGAAGGCAACTTGCAAGAGCCCTGGCTTTTGCCGGATTCGGGGTTTCTGTGGTTTTCTTCGCTGCGCTGCTTCACCGTCGGGGTGTGGTTCCGCCTGAGCGCAAACATCAGGCAGCTACTCTGTTTCTTGAAGGCTCAAAGGTCATGAAGCGCAATCTGCTGCAACCAGCAGTTCCTCAAAAAGCAAGTGGTCGAGCACTTGGGGCAGCGCTGCTACATCTGCTTACAAAGAGGGAGCGACCTGTGGTTGGCTGTGTATAGATCGCTACCCAGTTCCCTACAGCACCAGAAAACCCGTGCTGCCGAACTTGTGAAGGCTCAAGTGAGGAGCTTGATTTCGGATGCTGAAGGTGTCTATGGCCATGCTGGCCGGTTTTTCCTTTTCTTGTTTTCCCGAAAGCATCGCGAACGGTTCTTCCGCGCGGAGCTCTCGGACCAACTTGCATAGAGTCACTTGCGCAGAGTCAAAGCATAGAGCCAAGTGCATGGAGCCAAGTGCATAGAGCCAAGTGCATAGAGCCAAGTGCACAGAGCCAAGTGCAAATAGAGCCAAGTGCATAGAGCCGAGTGCACAGAGCCGAGTGCACAGAGCCGAGTGCATAGAGCCAAGTGCATAGAGCCAAGTGCACGGAGCCAAGTGCATAGAGACGTGCATAGAGCCAAGTGCGTAGAGCCAAGTGCATAAAGCCAAGTGCATAGAGCCAAGTGCATAGAGCTAGGTGCATAGAGCCAAGTGCATAGAGACCGAGCGCATAGAGCCGAGTGCATAGAGCCAAGTGCATAGAGCCAAGTGCATAGCGCTTCGGCGTTAGCAGCTATGTAAGTTAAGTTTAGTTTCTAGGGCCGGGGCAGGACTTTGATCGTCGATCGGGTTTGCGACCCTCTGCGGGGATCGGCGTGGTCGAGGTGCAAAAACTCGAAGTTTTTTTGCGATGTCTGATCTGCCCGCGTGATTGTCTGCGGGGATCGGCGTGGTCGAGGTACAAAAACTCGAGGTTTTTTGCGCTATCTGATCTGCCCGCGCGACCCTCTGCGGGGATCGGCGTGGACGAGGTACAAAAACGCGAGGTTTTCTGCGTTCTGCGGGGATCGGCGTGGTCGAGGTACAAAAACGCGAGTTTTATTTTTTTGCGTTTTTGCGGTGCGCGGATGAACCCTCTGCGGGGATCGGCGTGGCTGAGGTGCAGCAACTCGATGTTTTTGCGATTTCTGACCTGAACCCTCTGCGGGGATCGGCGTGGTCGAGGTACAACAACTCAAGGTTTTTTGCGATTTCTGATCTGCCCGCGCGACCCTCTGCGGGGATTGGCGTGGTCGAGGTGCAAAAACTCGAGTTTTTTTTTGCGTGTTTGCGGTGCGCGGATGAACCCTCTGCGGGGATCGTGCGTGTCGATGTGGTCTCGCTGTGGCTGGAAAATCGTAACTCTTAAGTACGAGAATAGTACGCAAAGTAAACTTTCGCAGCTCCGGCGCAACTTTTGAGCGCGAAGTACACTTTCGCAGCTCCGGCTGGAAAATCACAACTTTTAAGTACGAAAATTGTATGCAAAGTCTGGCTGGAAAATCGCAACTTTTCAGTACCAAAGTAGCACGCGACGTAAGCTTTCGCGCTGCGGCTGGAAAAATCGCAACTTCTAAGTACGAAAGTAGTACGCGAAGTAAACTGCCGGGAATATCGCAACTTTTAAGTACCGAAGTAGCGCGCGAAATAAACTTTAACAGCTCCGGCTGGAAAATAGCAACTTTTAACTTCGAAAGTGTTTCGCGAATAGAGGAAACTTGTTCAGACCAACTTTGAGAGAACTTGCTTGGAGAACTTGCTCAGAGGAAATCGCGCCGACAACTTGCTCAGAGCAACTTGCGCAGAGAACTTGCTTGGAGAACTTGCTCAGAGGAACTCGCGCCAACAACTTGCTCAGAGCAACTGCGCAAAGAACTTGCTAGGATTGCTAGGAGAACTTGCCGCCGCTGCTAATGCTTTCGGGCCACCCATCTTCTAGTTAAATCAGAAGCCCCTTGGTCCCAAGAAGGTGGGAGCAGTGAGTGTGGTCCATATAATAAACGAAATATATTTACATATGTGTATAGAGCAAATCTTGCACAGGGGTTGCGGCTTGAGTGGTGCCATGAGTTGTGGCAAGGCTCGCTTTGCAGCTTGGATGCAACTTGGGTGTATCAAGTGAGTTTGCGTGTTGTGCCTTATGTGCTTGGCTGGGTAGACGACGGCTCGCAGCCGTGCAGGAGCCGCGGCCCTTTCTGCAGACTTTCGTCATACAAGACCCCTCAGCCTTTGGCGTCCGTCCAGTTCCAACAATCAGGCAGGCCAGTTTCCGTCAAAACAATAGGCTGAATTCGCACTTGTGAAAGCCATTGCCTTGCGCATCTCAGACTGTTTGCATCTCGCCCGGTTCACATCAAAGAGCTCTTGAGTCATCTTGACTGCAGGCAAAGGATCCTAGCCGGGGTGTGGTTCTATCAGCCCCCTACTGGTTTCCACAGTGGTAGCGGAGCAACCTTTTTGGGGAGACGCGCAGCATTTCGCTAGCAGCATTTGCTTTTTCCATATAGGCTTTTAGTGCGCCTGGCTGCCAGCGGCAGCACACTTTACCATTTCGAGAACGAGCGCTGCCAAGGTCATCTCCGTGAGTGGTCTGACTTTGAGATCGAGCTCTACGTGGCGAGCCTGACATGCCTAGCTTTGGTGGAGGTTAGGCTGATGATGGACGGGGCCATGGATATGCTGGAGGCTTCATTGAGATAGGCTTTGACTCACCCATTCAGGTTTGGGATGGCAACGCGGAGTACTTCCGCAAATTGGTGGCATGGTCAGTTTCCTCGATCAACCTCACGAAGACGGCTCACTTCAACCGCGCGGCCAGGTTTGCCATGGTCGGCCCGGCTTCGTGCCTTGGAGCTCGAGCCCTCGGATTTGGCGCATCGCCCGGCTGAGACTCAGACGGACCCAGATACCGGTGAAGAGCTGATCTTGGTGGAGGCGGACTACACGAAGGGGTCTACAAGATCCTGGATGCTTGGCAGGACATGGTCGCAGGCACTCTCACTGTCGGCAAGGCGAATTGCGGAAAGGTTTTACATTCACCTTTGTCGCCCAGCCCATGAGAGTGTGAGCAACTTTGCGCTGAGGCACCGGACCATCCTGGCAGGGCTGAAGAGCGAGGGCGTGGTGGTCGAGGATGCTGACACAGCTGGGTTCTACAAGAACAAGTTTTCAGCGAAATCCAGAAGCAGCTCCTCAAGACCACCTTGGGGACGAACGCGGATGTCTACGCGAAATGTGAGAGAGAGTCGCTGAGGCTGCTCAAGCGGATGCGCAACACCGGTCCACAAGCCCCTCCACAACGCCCTGGTTTTGGAACCAAGCCCTTCTTCAACAACAGTAGGTTCTCCAAGCAATCTTCGGATTCGCGATCTACGGCGCCTTCCTCATCTAATGCATTCACATTGAGCTTCCGGAGGAGCTTTGGTGGTCATCGCTTGACCGACGTGGCTGAGAACGAAGAGGAGGAATGGTCCTACGACCATGAAGGAGCCCAAGGTCGAGGTTATGGAAGTTGACGGT